AGTTTTTAAAATTGTGTCATAGAAGTAGAATTTAGTTTAAAAAATTGACACCACTCAAATGAATCGCTGGCTCCGCCACTGGGCCAAAGGCTGATGCTTGAGGTCAAAATTTCCAGGCGTGTTGTTGGGCCAAAATGGAATGGCATCTCTGAGTTTGAGGCCTTCGGCCATGGTGACGAAGGCATCCCTTTTGTGGGACGTGGGCTGCATTGTACTTGGGATGTTGTCCCTGGGTCGTCTATATCTGTTGGGTCTGCTTGAGGTAGCAGGAGTATGTGAGATGGGGGTTCCCGCCTTCCCGGGCTATATACTCCTTCACTTGGTTATATTCAAACAAAAATCATAGGCAATTGAAGGGGTTTAGAAGCTGTTCTCTTCGCCTGATCTGAATGTTTCTGATCTGAATTTTTTAAGTTCTGATCTGAATTTTTCTGATCTGATCTGATCTGAATCTTTCTGATCTGATCTGATCTGATCTGAATCTTTCTGATCTGATCTGATCTGAATCTTTCTGATCTGATCTGAATGTTTCTGATCTGGTCTGAATGTTTCTGATCTGATCTGAATCCTTCTGATCTAATCTGAATCTTTCTGATTTGAATATTTCTATGATTATAATTATAATTATAATTATAATTATAATTGTAATTATAATTATAATTATTATAATTGCAATTACAAATATAATTATTATAATTGCAATTACAAATATAATTTAAATAAAATTATAATCATAATCGTAACTATAATAATAATAATAATAATAATAATAATAATAATAATAATAATAATAATAATAATAATAATAATAATAATAATAATAATAATAATAATAATAATAATAATAATAATAATAATAATAATAATAATAATAATAATAATAATAATAATAATAATAATAATAATAATATTAATTAAAATTAAATTTAAAATGAAAAAAATTATACCTATTACACTAATTATAAATATAGATATAATTATAATTGTAATTATTTTTTTAATTATAATTACTTATGTAATTATAATTGTAATTATAATTACAATATTTATCTCTATAATTGTAACTATAGTTATCAATATTATTATAATTAATCCGTAAAATAATTACAATAGTAATAATAATAATATTAATAATTATAAGAAAAATTATAATCACAAATTATAATTATAATATAATTATAAGTATAATTATAATTATTATAATTATAATTAATAATAATTATAATTATATTAACATTAATTATAATATTATAATATAATAATAGTAATATTAATGCAATTAATATTATTATAACGATATTATTATATTAATATTGTTATTACAATAATATAATAATAATATGATTATTATTATTATTATAATTAGTATTATATTATTATAATATTATATTATAATTATAATTATAATCATAATTATAATTATGATTGTAACTATAATTATAATTATTATAATTATAACTAATTACAATTATAATTATATTAATATAATTATAATAATTACAATTGATTATACTTATAATTATAAGAATTTTAATTGTAATTATAATTATAATTACATATAATTATAATATAATATTATAATAATATTAATCATATTATTATTATTATATTGTAATAATAATAACAATAATAGTTTTCTTAATAATTGCATTTATATTACTATTAGTATATTAAAATATTATAACTATTATTAATATCTTATTTTTTTTATCATATTATTATTAATATTATTAATAATAATTATATAATAATAATAATAATCATAATAGTAATAACAATATTAATAATAATAATCAATATAATAATAAAAGTGATAAATCATGTTTGAACTTTTCTGATCTGATCTGATCTGAATGTTTCTGATCTGATCTGATCTGATCTGATCTGAATCTTTCTGATATGATCTGAATCTTTCTGATCTGATCTGATCTGAATCTTTCTGATCTGATCTGATCTGATCAGAATTTTTCTGATCTGATCTGATCTGATCTGAATTTTTCTGATCTGATCTGATCTGAATTTTTCTGATCTGATCTGATCTGATCTGAATAAAATAAGAATAAGTAATAAGTAATAAGAATAAGACGAACAGAACAGCACCTTAGTACAACATTTCTGTGAGTAATAATGGAGTTCGGTTCAACATGTCGGACCTCTCTACGTACAAAAGTCTCATGATGATGCACGTCAACAAAATAGTCATGTTGAGCCAAAATAGCAAATATCTAAGTTGATGCTAGACCTCTTAGCTAGATTTCATGTTAACCTACCTTCTAAATTTGGGAGGGAATGTGTGTTGCACAGTATTTATCTCAAGTGGAAAAGCTAACTAAGGATGTATTTCAGTCCCAGACCAGATCAAACCAGACCAGAATTAAACAGAATAGACCAGACCAGACTTGGATAGTTATAAAATACACAGAGACCAGACGTTTACCAGACCAGACCAGACCAGACTTAAACAGATCAGACCAGACCAGACCAGACCAGACCAGACCAACAAATTTCAGTCCAAAAGAAAACATCCTAAAAAGATTTGAAAAAGATTAATGATCAAATTTGATTGCAAATGTAAAGGTCCAGAATTTTTGGACAAGGGCACAAGAAAGAAAATATAAAGTCGGTCTATGTTTGGGAGTTTTGAAAGGAGGGGTGGGGAAGGCTTTGAGGGAAGTGGAGAAGTGGATGAAAGGGAATACAATAAAACGATTCATCTCGTTTGCAACATCTAAATTCAAAGAGGAAAACAAGGGATAGTCTATAGGTACTTTTTTCTCACCACTCTTGAAATACCATTCTGAGTCTATGGTTTGATTTGATTGTGTAGTCACACTATTATGCATGAATTTTCTGTTTTTGTTTGTTATCAGGAGTGTTCTTGGTGCAGTTCTAATTGTTATACAATGGTACTACACTAGTTCCAGTCTCGGTTTATTAACAATCTAAATCTTTTCGAGATGATCTGATCTAAATTTTCCTTATCTGATCTAAATTTTCCTCATCTGATTGCATATTTAAAATTATTAAATGATCATACTTATAATTAAACTATAGTTTGACAAATTAAATGAAAAAATTTTAGGGCCTGTTTACTAACAGAGATATTTTCCTGTTTTCTACTTCTGTTTTTCGTTTTCCAATTTTCTGTTTTTATTTTTCAGTTTTTCTATCTCCAATTTTCTGTTTCTATTTTTTAGTTTTCCATTTTCAAATTTGAAAACATGTTCATCAATTTTTTCACATAGTTCTCCAATTCCACACCCTTGACCCTTACCACGATCTACACTCTACCCATACTCCACCACAACCCTTCATACCCACCCATACCTACCCGTAGGGGTCGGGTAGGGAAGTTATGGGTGGGGGTGGGGTAAGGGGTATGGTCGGGGTGGGGTGGTAAGGTTTAGGGGTAGGGGGTTGGGTGGGGGTAGTGGGTGGGTTAGGGTCGTGGGTGGGGTAGTGGGTAGGGTTGGGGTAAGGTAGGGAGTTGGGATAGGATGGCGGCAGGGTGGGGTCGGGACCAGGGGTGGGGCCGGGGTAGGGAAGGGGTAGGATGGCGGTAAGGGTGGGGGTAGTGGGTGGGGGTTTGGGGTTGGGGTAAGGTAGGGGTAGGGTAGGGAGTTGGGATAGGATGGTGGTAGGGTGGGGTCGGGACCAGGGTGGGGCTGGGGTAAGGAAGGGGTAGGATGGCGGTAAGGGTGGGGGTAGTGGGTAGGGTTTGGGGGGGTTGGGGTAAGGTAGGGGTAGGGTAGGGAGTTGGGATAGGATGGCGGTAGGGTGGGCCCAGGATCCGGGTGGGGCCGAGGTAGGGTAGGGTGGGGGTGGGTGTGGGGGTAGGGATGGAGGTACGGGGGTGGGGGCAGGATGGCGGTGGGGTGGGGCCGAGGTAGGAGGCATGTGGTAAGGGGTAAGGTAGGGGTAAGTGGTAATATACGAGGGGTGGGCGTAGGGTAGGGTGGGTCGGGGTGGGGTCGAGGTGGTAGGGGTGGCGGTAGGGTAGGGTGGATCGAGGTGGGGTCGAGGTGGTAGGGGGTGGCGGTAAGGTAGAGTGGATCGGGGTGGGGCCGAGGTCGGGGCATGTGGTGGGGGGTGGGGTAAGGTCATTATAGGGAAAAATGGGTACGCGGGGTGAGGGTTGGGTGGGTAGGGTAGGGTAGGGGTAAGGTACGAGGATGGAGGTACCGGAATGAAATCGAAATCGGAGCGGGACCGGACCCACCACTAGGTGTAAGTATGCAAATTCATTGCAAAGGCACTGTAGCATCTGCGTTTTCCTAATTTGGAAAACTAGTAAAAGTCACTTCTCCAAATCATTAAGGAAAAGAGAGACATGTTTCATTTTTTCCGTTTTGGAAAACGATTTGGTAAACGCGTTTTTCTTTTTTCCTTTCTCCAGTTTTCCAGGAATTTCTTTGGTAAACACGTTTCCTGTTTTTTGTTTTCCAGTTTTCTGGAAAACTGGAAAATATTTCTATTAGTAAACAGGCCCTTAACTTTTTGATATCAAAATTGACCATTCTATGGTACAAAAAAGGTTTGGAAGATCACTTTTTCTTTTTCTTTTAAGAGGCAGTGTTTATTGAAGGATTAACAATTAAAATGATATACTATATTAAAGCGACAATATTTATTACTATAGTTGGTTACTCGTTAGACAAACTAACTCCAAAGAAAATGGTCAGTCAGGCAATATGTCACCTAGCTGACTCCTTAGATCGAGGATTAAGTTAGCCAAACTAACTCCAAAGGAAATGGTGAAGGATATAAAGTCAGAAGTTTGAAAGAAGTAAAAAAAAAAAGAACAAACAAATTATAGGAGTTTATTCTATGATTATCTATGTGTTTAACTATTTAAACCAAACCTTTAACTAGTCATGGACCCGGTCCAGTCCGACCGGCCCGGGAACCGGCCCCCTGCTACCTTTAACCAAACAATCTTTGGTTAGTTCCAGTCAGCTGGTTGTAACTTCGATTTTGATTAGTTTGTTGGATGGGTTCGATTGGTCAGCACTTATTCCATGTATATATATGCCAGTGCAATAAGTTCTATTCTATACATTTATTGTTCTAAACAAAACACTCATCTCCTGTGCAGCACATTTTCCTGAATCCCTCTATTATAATCCGTTAATTAAGGCCTACAGTTCGGTTAAATGTTGTTATATATCCCGTTTATCACTGGTATATATATGCATGTCTGTATGATCTTGGCAAAAGTGACGAACTGATAAATAACTTCCAGATACAATACACAAGCACTATTTCACTTTTTTTATGTACTTGCTAAACCCATCTCTTCTGATGACTGGTAAGCTTGGACCTCACAGGGGGTTTCCTCCTGCTTGTAGGTTCTATTCTAGAAGACGCTTGCTTTGATTTTGAACTGGTAACAGAACTGCCGGAATTATTCAAAGAGATTTCACTCAAAGGGCTCACTGGCCTGGAACAAAGATGCCTTTCTGTCACATTCACTATAGCAGGTTTCTTCTCCAGAACCAATTTCTGCTCTTGTTTCCTTCTAGCTTTCTCTATGTTATTAACGGGTGTAGCCTCCACACACGTAGCAGCAGATTGGGGTCTGATCCTTGGAGGGTTATCTGAATCTGAAGACGAAGGGCTAGTCGTGCTATCCATATCATAGATTATATTATCTGTCAAAACAGGATGATGCATGTTGTTTGGGCTGTGAACTGTAGAGAAAGAGCCTTCTGGTTGTAATCTTGTCAAGTTGGATACCTGGTCACAATGAAACATTCAAAACATTCCATTTCAAAAGAACTTTGGCATTTTTATATCCTATTAATATAGACTTGATTCCATCCAACAAAGTCAACCTCAGTAGCAGATTTCTATTATGGATTAGTTAATAGCTATCTCATTGCAAAAGATATATACTTTAAGATTTATCTTTAGTGCTCTGTTTATTGTGCAAACATTGCTCAGTGAGAGAGGTACATCATTTACTTTTCACATAATCAATCAACTAGAAAAGAATATGTTTTCGCAGCAATATTGTCATATCAGACTCACTTTCTGGTGTAGAATCGAAATCTCCTTTTTCAGTTTGGAAATGACCATATTCTTCTTACAGATGATCTCTTCTAGCTCTGCGATCCTCTGATACAAAAAAGTGAAGCAAAAGGTAAGTCCGTAAGTGGAATGAATGATATCAAGAAAAAATAGTGGCTTATCTCAGGCTTTCAGCATGTTACCTTTGAACCTAGAGTTTCAGATGATTGTAAACAGGCAGATAGCCTATTTATGGTTGCATCCTTATCTTCACAGTTGCGCCGGAGGTTAAAGATAGCATGATGAGCTGTTGCAGTGTTCACCTGCAAGAAGCAACCTGAGAAAGTGTGCACAAAATGTGGAAAGGAAAGGCCCTAATTGTACAATACATTCATAGATTTTAATTTAAAATATCAGCATAATGATAGTTGTTAAATGATACTCCGTAGTTGTTTGACAGAATAACAAAACTAATTAGATACCTTGCTGATGTTATGCACTGTTAATTTAAAAGAGTAGCTTAAACGCACAAATATAAATTTTACTTGTTTCTATATTTAAATTCTACTCAGTTCTAAGCATTAGCATCCATTTCACAATTGATACTTTTCCACAATTGGCTTGAAACGTGTTCATGGAATCCAATTACCTGAATATCAGCAGACGAAGCCACGCTAGGAGCCAAGTCTGACAAATCAGACATTCGGCGCTCCTCTGGTTCTGCTTCATTCGATAAAAACTCCTCTTCTTCGCCCATTGACAACTTCCTAGCTGAACCATTCTGCTAAAGTGAAAGTTCACAGAACTTAAACCAAGCTCAATTCTCAAATGAAAATAAATGTGTGAAACAGAAGCGTTAGTCATATTATTTGTTGAACCATTCTGCTAAAGTGAAAGTTCACTGCACTTAAACCAAGCTCAATTCTCAAATGAACATAAATGTAGGAAACAGAAGCAGTAGTAACATTCCTGGTGATTACCATGGAGAGATGTTTAGGCAAATGTTTGCGTTGCTCACAAAGCCAGCAAATATTAGCAGCAGGCTCAGGTTGATCCTTGAAATAATTGACCTGCTCGCATAAATTATCAAGCTTCTCCTGCATTCTGGAAAGCACCTCATCCTGAAAACAGTACAACAGTTGATTGAGGAAAATATCACAACATGAAATTCAGCATTAATCAAAATGCATTTACTATTATGGCCAATTAGTATCACATGATATAATAAAACGCTGCACAAATAATGACAAACCAAGCTTGACCCTAATAAGTGCTTCTATTTAATTGAAACTTAACTCTGAAAGTTTTTAGATTTCTAGTACTCTCTGTATATGTACTTCAAAAGAAGATACAACTGGGAAAAAAATAAGTGTTTATTAGCTATAATAACGAATCACTTACTAAACAAACTCCTAAATTAAGAGTCAAATCCACAATGACTCTTCTTTAAAAATGACATTTTTAGGGTTTAGGAATGCATTTGAACACATTAAAGAAAGACTAACCCTTAGTTGAACAGACTTCTCAAGGAGAGAGATGCGTTTATTTTTCTTCGAATTAGCAGTGGCCACGGCAATAACAGCAACGACGAGAACCCGTTGAATGGGAGTGAAAAGGTCCCAAGCCAGAGCTTCCTCCGGACTCAGTCCACCGCCGATTGCCCTAGCTGAACTTGCTTCCTCGGCTCCGACGAGGCGTCCCTGAAGGGATACCCATGCGAGCTGCCTTTTGACCCTGACGGGCTCGCTGGGTTGGGAGAAGGAGCTGGAGAGGCGGCGAGGGGCCGGGGTGAAAGGAGAGAGCGAGACCAGGGATGGCGGCCGCTTGGAGAATGCAGATGAGCCGAAGCTGGTTTCATGATAATCTTCTTCCTCTTCCTTCATAAAGGCGGTGATTAAGGCTGAATAGGGCGATTGAATCGGCCGCGGCTATTAATGGAATGGAGTTCGAACCATCTTCCCCATTTTGAATGTTACGTTAGGGAGGGAAGTCGCAAATCCGGTGAGTGTTTGGAATTTGACGGTAGGGATTGTTACATATTTACAGACGCTGGGGTCGGGTCGGGTGTGTTGGAGATAGCCGTTGCCTGTGTTGGCCTGCGCCTCTACCTTGTCCGTTTACAATTCAAAATCGTTTTTTGTTTTTTGCTGAATAATTATTTGTTTAGGTCCAATCTAATACTACCTCCGTCCCATTTATATTGGGACGGAAGAAGGTGTCATGTTTATTAAGAAAAGTGAGTTTGTGTGATTGATATTAATTGATAGAGTAAGAATAAAGTAAGAATGATTTAGAGCCACATAAACTTTGCCAAATATGGTATGAGACAATTTAAGTGAGACTTCCCGAAAAGGTAAAACGGGACAATATAAATGGGACGGAGGGAGTACGTAGTACCATGTACTCCGTCCGTCTCTATATAATTATTATCCCGTTTTTTCATTTTTGGATATCCCACTATTATTGTCATATGCCATATTTGGTAACATTTGTGAGACTCTAATTCATTCTTACGTTATTTCCATTTTATATGCTCATTATCAACCACATAATTCCACTTTTCTTAAAAATCACATCACTCTCTTTCGTTCCAATATTAGGGGGACGGAGGTAATAATACATTTTCGTCCCTATAAAAATCTCACATTGAATTGCACACATTTTAAAGAAATATTTTTTTCATTTAACTTCCTGAAATATCCCCTTTATTAAGGAGTAAATTTTATTGCAGAGAACATTGTTTGATACTCAATCGGTTCAGCTAACATCGTCTCATATTTCCTTTTCGATTCATATTACTGAGATTATCACATACCAAATTTAATAAATTGTGTGTGGTTATATATTATTCTTACTTTATCAATTCAATATAAATCATGTAAGCACGCTTTTTTAATAACTGCACCACATCATAATGTCCCAATGTTAGTGGGACATAGGTAATACCGTTTTGCAGTGTGTTGTCATTATCGTTTAAGGGTACTAGAGTAAATTTACTTCCCGATGAAAGAAGACTTTATTTAGGTACATCCACAAAAAGAAAGTCAAAAAATTATTTGTGATCGGAGGGAGTAATAACATACTCCGTATGTCTTTTATATTCTCAAAGAAAAAACACAGGCCTTTTAATGAAATAGAGAGAAGCAATAAATGTTCCCTTGAACTCTTAAGAATATTGTTTGAAATTAAGAATATTTAAACACTAAGATGAATGATTTATGTAACATAATTCAATAGATATGAGTATTTGGTTTTGCTTATTTTCAACTTTTCACTTAGTGAAATGATCGTTGATCTTGGCTATATCTTTAACTATCTCCTCTATAATACTCAATCGTAGAGTACTTCCAATTCATCGAGAGTAGTTATTAACAACGAGACGTATTTATTAGTAAAACTTATTATCCAATTAATATAAAAGACGCGTCTTATATTGACCCGATAGTAGCATCAAACCTTAAGATGAAATTAACTGAGATTGACAATCTCAACACAAGCGATTTTGGTTTAATCAATGTAATAACCCCCATTAGATTATAAACCTTAGACTATTAATCTAAGGTTACTAACGTTGAAATGGTCGAGCGAATAACAAGTGTATCTGTCGATCGAATTAGTAATAACTAATATGAAAATAAAATAGTTGATCCTTTAGGTAATGCTCAAATATTAATATGAGATATAAACAGGAATGTAATTAATATTAAAGAGAAGATGATTAAAGAAAATGACTCAAAACTTACAAAACACAATCTTCAATATAGCAAATCCAAGATGGAAGAGTTTAGCTCCTCATTTAGATACTAAACATGAAATAAATAAACAAAAACACTTATCTAGACTGAGATTAAGAGTATATATGAGTGGGTGATTAAATGGGAAGGAAAAAACACTTATTTATAGGTATTTGGAGGTGACAGAGCCTGATACCCGATCGAGTATCCTCAGTGGTAGTCAGGAAACTTCAAAAATCACATCATACCTGACTGGATATGTCGTGTTAGGAAATTTGTGTAACGTACCTTGAGAGTATGTTACACAAGAGCAACCCAAGAGCATCCCAAGAGCAACCCCTTGGTCTTGGGAGAAGTTCTACACTTGGGGATTCCATTGTCCACCATAGCTTTGGAGTTGTGGTATTAATTTCTTATGTATTTCATTGTATTTCATCATTTCAATACTTGTAATTTCATTATGAATGGTTCTAGCCAATTTTCCATAGTCAAGGTTAGGGATGAAACTTTACGCACTCCAGGTGTTTGATGTATGTTCTCAACCAAATTATTATGATCTTTCCATTGTATTTTAATGTGTATGACTACGGTGTACAACGTATGATTATATCACTGGGTTTATTTGAGCAATTAATGTTGAGTTATAAACCGTGCACTTAAGGGTTAGACATATTCTAATTGTGGATAAAAATATACCTCAATTGAATATGGTGGTTTGTATAATGTCCTAATCTTCAATGGGGTTAATTTTAGATGAATGTGAACTGTGATGGGATTCACACGTAGAATTAACCACAATCTCGTTGCCGTAACAGGAGTTAGAATACTTTAGCGACATTCCACTCATAAGAATTGGGGAAGAATATAAATTCATCGCTGGAGTCGTTTAGGAGTAAGCTCGAACCCTTGGTTGCTTTTATTATCATTTAAAACCCAAAAATCTCTACTCTTTTACTAAATCTTTTACAAAATTCTATTCTCAACTTTGAATCATATAAACAACGTTTCCTCGTGTTCGACTCGATATTTTTACCGATTTTTATTACTACATTATTGACACTTGTACACTTGCAAGTTTTAGTCGATCACTAACCGACAATGCCGAGGAACTCTATGAGAGAATGAAGGAAGCAAATGTCTTACTCACTATCCTCACTTACAATGAACTACTGACTCTCTACATGTCTGTTGGACAACTAAAGAAGGTGTCTCCACTCATTCGGGAACTGAAATCCCAAAATGTTTCACCGGACATATTTACTTTCAATCTATGGATTAGCTCATGTGGTGCTTCTCTCAAAATTGATGAGGTGAGACGGATTCTTGATGAAATTAATCTCGACCATGGATCTGATGGACAGTGGATAAGATATGTGAATCTTGTGTACATATATACCTCATCGGCTCACCTTGTTAATTCAGAGTCTGACTCTTTGATTGAGATGGAGAAGGGTCATATCACACAAAGGGAGTGAATATCTTGAGTCCTACGGTCACGAAGGCGAGCAAGTCTGTAGATGTCTTTTTCTCCTTCTTTAGAGTCCAATTTTACATAGAATTCCTTGTCACTTTTCCGCTGGCTTCCTTCACAGCTTATTTTGTTCTTCTTCTAGCCTCCTTGTACTCCTCTATGTTCTCGTCACTCCGACTTTTGCCCAATTTCTTATAGCATTCCCTTTTGATCCTTTTTGCTTGTTTCACCTCATCATTCCACCAAGACGTGTCCTTTTTTGGTGGCAGACATCCTTTAGATTCTCTAAGTATCTCTTTTGCCACTTTATTAATGGTGGACTCCATTGATAACCACACATCATCCACATGTGCGTCATTATCAATAGACCATACATCTTGTCTCAACATTTTGTGTGCAAAACTTTGTTGGAGATTCCCCTCGAGTCTCCACCATTTTATCTTTGGCTCCCTTTGTACCTTATCCTTCCTCCTCTTTTTACCTTGAAAATCAAGCACAAGCATCCTGTGCTAAAATCAGTGTACATAGCTAGTTCTCCAAGTTGTTCGTACTAAAAAGTGTAATCAATGTGGGTACTATTAGTTCCACTTCTAGGTCACAAGGTGAGTCTCTTTTCTTGAATCAAGTTTTCATCACAGTCAACTCATATTTTGAGGCAAAATCCAGAATGTTCTTCCCCGTATCATTACTAATGCCAAAACTATGTCTGCCATGGATACTCTCAAAACCATCGCGACTTGGGCCCACATGCCTGTTGAGGTCGCCTCTTATGACCAACTTATCTCCCTTTGCCACTCGTCGCACCACTTCCTCAAGATCTTTCTAAAATTGTTGAGTGATAGATGCATCCAACCCCACTTGTGGTGCATAGGAACTTACCACGAACATGATCTCATCTCCAATTACCAACTTAATGCTCATGATGCGGTCGTTCTTCTGAAAGACTTCACCACACTCTCAACATAATCATGCACCACCATAGTTCCTACTCTATTTCTGTTCCTCTCTCTCCCCGAATACCACAACTTAAAACCTACAGGATTAATCTCACGTGCCTTTTCACCAACCCACTTAGTTTCTTGCATGCACATTATGCTGATATTTATCCTCTTCATAACCTCGACTATCTCAGTTGATCTTCCTGTAAGAGAGCTAACATTCCACATCACAAAACGCAGTCTAGAACCCTATCTTCTCTTCTTCACACCACATTGACCCCCACGTTGTCCTTGCATATTTGATATCATCCCCGGACATTGGAGTGGCGTGTCACTTCCGGGCGATGACCTAGCAACCTTATCATTCTTATCACCACATTCAGGCGTATGAAGTGTAGCGCGCCATTGCATATTTGACACCACCCCCAGGCGAAGAGATGATGTGCCGCTTACGGGTGATGACCTAGCTGTAGCGATATTCATATTTCGATTCATTTCATGTGATGTGACTAAGTTGTACTATTGGCCGTCACAAAACTATCACAACACCCTCTTCCTTTATCCTGCCTTGGAACATGCATGATATCCAAAAAACTTTTCCATTTCATAAAATTTTAACCATGATTTTGATTACTAAAATATTATAGAAGTTATAAATTTTATACTTTTATGAAAGTACATTTAACGATGAACATTTTCATATAATTTTTATATTAAAAATAATTTTCAATAAAAATATATAGTTGGTCAAAGTTTTGAAAATGACAAAGTTTATTGGGACAGTGGTAGTACTACCTCCGTCCCGGTGGACTTTGACAAACGCAAAGTAGGTGAGGAATAAGAAAAGTAAAAGTTGTGTGGTT